CTGGCCCTGGGTCACTAACTCAATCATCGGAGGAGGCGTAATAATTATGAATCGCCCGTGAGCATTAACGGCATGGAGGTGATTTATCAAAAACGTCAATTACCTTCTGAGCGTTTTTTACAGCTCAACACATTCCTCGGTCACAAGCGGAACGCCGGCCGTTTGCCCGCGCCGCGTCACATTTTGATGTTCGAATTGAGGTCGGCGTCAGCAAACGCACGGCGACGGGCGCCAAGATGAGGAGCATTTGCGCGGCACTTATTGACTTGAGCTTTCGCCGACCGGCTGAGGCAGTCGAGAACAGGTTCTCGCTCGCGACGCCGAGCCGGCTGTCGTCGGCAAAGAAAAACCCAATCGGAAGACGTCCGACGCAAGATGCTGTCACAGACGGATCGTTGGAACAAAAAGGCCGTTGACGTTGCGGGTTGTTCCAGGCGGTCGTGCAGCAACGAATTTTCGCAGCCGGCGCCGTTGTGGGAGTGAACACAGCCGACTTGCGGGCTCGGATGGAAGAGGCTCCTCCCGATGCCTTTCAATTCAGCGCAGGAGAGACGCACGATCTGAAGGGGCGAAGCATCAATGAAGCTCATGGGGAAACCCGCACTTGGGGATGACGTCAAGTCGCCCGCCGTAAAGCGGCCACTTGGAGATCGCCTTCTGTGTGCGACACCCCCGCGAGAACTCCCTCGCCCTCCCGTAGCTGTGACGCGGCCGGGCGGGGCTGCTTTTAAAAGTACATGAAAGATGATCGTAAATAATGCGTTGAATGAATCGATTTGGGGTTCGATATGTGCCGTTGTCATATTTATGGAGGACACGAGATGAGGTCCGTCACGCAACCGGGTGGACCCGGACAAGACACAAGTGGCGCAGACAGAGACAGTCAAGAGCTCTCGGCGTTATTTATTGGCCCGATTATTATTGTCAGACCCACTTTATTGGAAGCCGCCTTTTTTAATTATGGAGAATGAATTGCTTGAAAATTTATGATGGCGGGACACAAAGGTCTTCTGCTTTTCGATTCATACGTGAAGAATGTTAAGTGTGCCACCGTGTGTAATTCTGTTTTGATCATCAATCAATTTGGAAAATTGACCGCTGTGATTACAGCAATGGATTTGTTTTTGTTTTTTTTCGCCGCTCTGTGAAATTTCAAGTCAATTAGAGCGGCAAATTGGTGCCGTTGTGAAATCGGGCTTCTTTCATCTCTGGCGGCTGGCTCAAGTCAAGCCTCTCCTTTCTCAGGTGGGCAACTTTGAAACGGTCCTTCATGCCTCGGTCGCATCTGGGCTGGAAGACTGTCGCGCTCTTGACTTTGGGGTCAGCCGATCCTCCATTCGGAGTCTCCAGTTGGTCCCGAGCGCCGCCGTTCGCCTCTCGACCCGCACTCGTAATGAGCTTGAACCGACGTGCCATCCAGAAGGACCCGGCGCATGTTGGCCAACTGTGCCCCCCCACAATAGGCTGAGGATTTCCAACAGGCCAGTTTCTTTTCGGATCTCACGACAACGCAACAACGCATATTACGGAAAAAGACCAATGACACGTGCTCGCCAATGAGGACAATCCTGGCCGGAAAACGTTGGCGATGATGAACGATGCGACTGGGGGATGACGGAGGACGGAGGATATCGCTCGCAGGCGAAGTCCATCCATTCATTCGCGGGACCACCGCCAAAGGGGCCTGCCACACGCCATCTCGGGTGAATTGCAAGCCACCCTTGAAACCCGCATTGGGGTCCCCTCAAATGGGACACTTTTGTGTTGGCCTTCAACGGGATGGCAATTTGAAAAGAACTACACACACACACACACACACACACACACACACACACACACACACTGGGCCTTTCCTCTCCTCGATGCAGCGCGGGAGAGAGACCGTCTCATTCTCGCGCGCACATCCCGCAGAGCGCATCTGGAGGTTGGAGCGGCACAGGAGAAGGCGCGCTCAACATTCCGAGCGTTCCCTCCGACTCGCATGCCGGCTGCCACGCCGCTCACCATTTTGCCCGAGTCGGCAGAAAAGACCACCGGGAGCAATACTGTAATCCAAAAGTTGAACCAGCGGAAAAGATGCCAAGTGAAAACTTCAAACCGGAGTCGGAGCCGCGGCCTTATTTTAAATCATTCAACCAACCACACAAACAAATCGGTTGGTTGAGGCGTGCGTGGCTTATTTGGAAAAGAGTCATCACTTCGAGTAAAGCGATTTAGCCGCATGTTTTTTTTTCATGCTTTCTTGTCGTGACATGAATATTTGCGCGCAAATGTGCAAATCCGTTGGAATCAAAAAGGAGTTGACATTCATGAGGAGATGGCGAGGGAAAGCCACCCGAGCGCGCTTGGACTTCTTCCGCTTCTTCGATCCTGCGCAAAAATCTCCGATATTCGCCGACGCTTCTTCTTTCTTCGTCCACATTCGGTCCCTTTTACCCCCCCTCGCGCGTCAAAAGTCGCGCGAGGACCGATCGCGG